AAAAAAAAAAAAAAAAAAAAAAACTGGATTTTGGTTCAGAGTCCCTGGACTTTCCTCCAGAGTTTCCTCTTTCCTTGAAAAAGGAAGCCTGTCTCAGTTTCCGCATCTCTATGGGTCCTCCTGGAGATTGACGATAGTGAGGTCTCAGTGCTTGGCCCCCCTCTGACTTTGGAGACCTCCCCTCCAGTGGGTCAAACTGGTTCAGTGCACAGGTCCCAGCTCTGGCGACCATCTCGCCCCACTTTGTTCCCAGCGAAGGCCGTTTCTAGGTCAGTTGCACGGTGCACCCAGGACAGGGCAAGGTGCAGCCAGGACAGTTGCCTGGTGCAGCCAGGACAGGGCAACTCGCTCCGCGATTTTTGGCTCTGGATGCCGCGAGCGCTGTGGTCCTGCGGAGCGCTGTCTCCCTCTTGTGGAGAAAGTGTGGAGGGCAGCGAGGGCTGCACCTGCACCTGCTGCGGCAAGCGGCAGTTCTGGGATCTCAAGGCAAAAGACATTTGTCATCTGAGAGGCTGGACTCAGTTATTATAATTTTAAATTTTTCAATAAAAACCGAGTGGAAATTTGTTTTCTTACTTGTAGAAATCTCCTCACAAGAACTCCCTTCTTATATTCCAGGGAAAATAGGGTATTCCACGAAGACATAGGGTAGACTGCGGTTCTTATCTGCAGGCCTCCATGCCCTGCGCAGGAGCACCAGGGCACGGTCAAAGTCCTTCCCCGACACAAAGCAAGGGCATTATGTCTACAACCAAATGAGGACCCTCACAGCCCCCAAAATGCACTGTTTTTATTCCAAAGAAAACCACCAGTTCTGAATACAACTTCTACCTAGCTCTGTTAGCTGAGTACAAGTCTCCCAGGCACAGAAATCTACAAATTCCTGTGAATACTGTGGTGAAAAGCAGGAGCTACCCAGGCGCGATGGATCACACCTGTAATCCTAGCACTTCAGGAGGCTGGGCGGATCACTTCAGCCCAAGAGTTGGAGACCAGCCTGAGAACATGTTGAAACCACCACGAAAAAAGAGAAAGAAAGAAAAGGAGGCTGGGCGTAGTGGCTTACGTCTGTAATCCCAGCACTTTGGGAGGCCAAAGCCAGCGGATCATGAACTCAGGAGATCGAGACCATCTGGCTAATGTGGTGAAACCCATCTCTATTAAATATACAAAAAATTCGCTGGGTGTGGTGGCATGCGCCTGTAGTCCCAGCTACTGGAAGCTGAGACAGGGGAATTCCTTGTACTTGGCAGGTGGCTGTTGCAGTGAGCCCAGCGAGATAGCGCCACTGCACTCCAGCCTGGGCGAAAACGAGACGCCATCTCAAAAAATGAAAAGAGAAAAAGAAGAGAGAGAGGAGAAGGGGAGGCGTGAGGGGAGGGGAGGGGAGGGGGGCGGAGGGAGGGAGAAAAACACAAAAAGTACAAATTAGCCCAGCTGGGTGTGGTGGCGGGTGCTTGTCCTACTCAGGAGGCCTGAGATAGGAAGATTTCGGGAGTCGAGATGTGCCACTGCTCCAGCAGAGGCCATCTAAGACCTACCTTCTGGGGATGGCGGGAAAACACTAAAGTTTTTAAGAACTGTTAAAAGCCCTCGGCGGCTCACGCCTATAATCCCAGCACTTTGGGAGGTCAGTGCATATGCACCCCAGAACTTGAGGTAAAATAAAGAAAAGAAAAGGAAGACAGCAACCCAGGGTGATGTGGTTTGTTCCCAGTAATTTGAAATATTTAAAGAATGGTTAAATGATCACTTGACATTTATACTCTAAACAGAAATGAGATTCACAGAGTTAAACATCATTACTTTGAGAAGATAAATTTTAATGTCATTTTCAATCTTGAAAATCTTTGGTTTTATTTTGAAAAAAAATCGTCAATTTTAAAAAGGTCACTGCAAAACAAAGGTATTATAGTCCATTTGCCTTTTCAAATAATAAACTTGGAAATATGTTAATATGAATGTCAACAGTCAACAGTCAACGTAGTGTGGCATATTAAGAACTGACTTCCATATAATAGGTAAGTTTAGAGAGATTACATTTCATGAGAAAATGTTTTATGAATTTTAATGGGGTATGTTTATTTAAATCTAATTTTCGATTCTGTTTGGGAAATAGTTGTCTGTTTCTTTTAGTGTATTCTCCTTCCTGTCCACGTATGTGGAATTACCTATTCTCTTCTCTTTTGAAATAGTTTAAAAGACTCAAAGAGAATGGTCTGGGCTTTGCATGTCCTTAGTCTGATAGACATTTCCCTGGCTGCTCACATGAATAGATACTAGCAGCTAACTAAGAAAACTACGTCTCTTGTCAGCCAGAAATTAACGAAGGCTTCAAAATCAGTGAATTCTCTGTTTTTCTGTGGCCTTATGTGCTGACAGTCTTATCTTAAGACAAAAAATTTTAATAGTATAGATTAAAGGTAACTTTGGCAAAACTTAAAATGCAGGCAGGGAATTTTTTTTCCAACAACAGGAACTAGGAAAAGCAAACATACAGTAAAAATTGAAAATTTCCAGTATAGAGATATAAATATAATAATTGACACTGCCAGGGATGATTAATGAATAAAATGTTTAGGGGATGATCGTTTCAACACAGCATATTAATACTTTTAAAAACCATTTTCCCAATTACCTCACTATAAATAAGGTGTCTCTGAAAGGTACAGATATGGCATCAAGATGATGGTGATAGACAAATGGTGGAACAGTCTTGGTATCACAAGATTGGTGATAGACAAATGGTGGAACAGTCCTGGTACCACGATCATGGTGATAGAGAAATCGTGGAACAGTCCTGGTATCAAGATAATGGTCATAAACAAATGGTGGAAGAGTCCTGGTATCACAATATTGGTGATAGACAAATGGTGGAACAGTCCTGGTACCACGATCATGGTGATAGACAAATCGTGGAACAGTCCTGGTACCATGATCATGGTGATGGACAAATGGTGGAATAGCCCTGGTATCACGATCATGCTGGTAGACAAATGGTGCAACAGTCCCAGTACCACGATCATGGTGGTACACAAATGGTGGAACAGCCCTGGTACCATGATCATGGTGGTAGACAAATGGCGGAACAGTCTTGGTATCACAATATTGGTGATAGACAAATGGTGGAACAGTCCTGGTAACACGATCATGGTGATGGACAAATGGTGGAACAGCCCTGGTATCACGGTCATGGTGGTAGACAAATGGCAGAACAGTCCCAGTACCACGATCATGGTGGTAGACAAATGGTGGAACAGTCCTGGTGCCACGATCATGGTTGTAGACAAATGGTGGAATAGTCCTGGTACCATGATCATGGTGGTAGACACATGGGACCTTCTCTGCCTGCAGATGGATGAGGTAGCATTGACCCTGCAGTGTTCCCGGAAAAACACTTAGGCTGAATTTAATCATGAGGACATTTTCAGACAACTTCAGAGTGTAGATCATTGAGCCAGACAGCTGACCTGTCCTCTACAAAGAAGCCCATGTCACCACCATCAATGACAACGAAAAGGTGAGGAGACACTTTGGGTTCCAAAGAACTAAAGCAATGTAGCTACATTATCTTTTGACTCTTTTTCGACCCAAAATGTCTCTTCTCCTTTTAGTTGTGTGATTTGTGGTGACATGGGCTGTCTGAAGGGGACAGGTCAGTCGTGCTGCTCACTGCTCTACATTCTGAAGTTGTCTGGAGATTACCTCAGGCTATGAAACTCAGGCTAAGTGTTTCAGCAAGAACATGGTGTTGTTCATACTCTGCACCGGCAGAGTCCCAGGTGACATGTTGTCTTAATGTGGGAATATGACCCCTGTCCGGGAGACCAGGTGAAGTCTTATCACCGTCATAGTAAGAAACCTACTGTCCATGTCCAAAGTCAAGCGCACATGCTCTTCCACAAGTAAAAAAATGGCATATGTGTAATCCTGGCATGTGTAATAAAACTCAGGATAAGCTGTATACGTTGAATACAATATATCCAGTGAGTACCGGAAGACTTCAGGCTCTTCTGCTTCCACTAGCTCCATGCTGAGCCTAGAAAAGGAGGAAAAAACAAAGAATAAGTCAGGGAAAATAAGGCACGCAGAGCCCCAACTAGATTTCATGGGTAGCACAAGAAAGTGGTTAATAAAGAAAAAACATAGATCCATTAATTAGAAAAAATTATTGCCTTATGTTGGGATGGGCAAGAGTAGGGTAAAAAGAATCAAAAAGAAAGAGAGAGAGAGAGAGAGAGAGAGAGAGAGAGAGAGAGAAAGTAAGCTCAGTGAGCCGTCCAGGTGACACACTGATGAGGGAGTAAAAGGACACTCTGAGTTAGTGCCCTCAGGACACACAGCGAACACTGATCGTAAAAACAAGTATGGTCAACCTACAGCAGTTAGTACATGATAAGGGGAGGAAGAAATGGAAACCTAAATATCTACTGCAATGAAAACCAACAGCAGTGTTAGTAGGAATAGTTCAGGCTTTGTTGAAAACACGGTATCGATATTGTCAGCCCACTCTGTTTTCCCTGGACCTGGCGTCTCCAGGTGTCAACACAAAATTAGCTGTTCACAATTGTTCAGAGTTACCTGGGGCATGGTGGGCCTTGATCTTCTTCTTCTTCTTGGTCATTTTTAATCTCTGCAATAAATTCAGACAGGGACAGACAAAATAAGCCGATTCCCCAACACCCATAACAGTCCACTGTCTAATCCCTGCACAGAGACCTCAGGCTCCTCAGCATGAGAACAGGATCATGTGAGAGATAGACTTCAGGAGGTCTCAAGGCCAATCATGATAGAGATTCCTTGGTTTGTGTCTCAGAACCAATGGTGAAATGTCCCTATTCTGGTAGCCCATTATCCTTTTATCCCAAGTTTGTACAAACAGTTACACCAAGTTTGTACAAGCAGGGAAGAACCTGACAGACATGCTTGGAGAACAAAACTCATGAGGAACTTGGTAGCTGGCAAGAGACATTGAATTCAGATTGACAGACAACTCGTGGGCATGCGCTGCATAGCTTGGTGTGAGTTTGCAACACCTGCCTTGGGTTTCAATGTCCTGACAGTCGGTTCAGGGTGCGACGGGCACAGCCTGAGACTAGAGAGAGAGCAAAGCTCACTGACCCACCCCATGTCCGTGCTTCAGACTGGAATCCAGAGTAATCGAAATCTACACTGATGTACAGGTTCAGCCCACAGTGAGGACAACTCTCAGCCCAGCCAGGGAGCAATGCCCAAAGACTATGGGGTCTATCTGGGACACAAAATGGAGCTTTATCACCTTCACAGTGGAGTACTCACTGTCTACGTCACCAGCCAAATCGACTTCCTGCTCCTCTAATGAGTGCAACTTGCTCCTGTAAGGCTCACTGAAGGCAGATGTGCCAGGAGGAACTGAGAGAGTCGAATAACCTTCATCCCAGGACTCCTGGGGGGCTTCCTCCTCCACAGACTCCTGCAGATTCCTGATGAGCCAGGCAGGACAGGGTGACAGAAGAGCAAACCAACAGAGATTAGACAACAAAGACTCCCAGATGATCTGATGGAAGTCAGAAAGGAGTGGCCTCAGAAAGCAAAGGCATTTATCCTTCAAGAGAAAAAAAACTATCCTTCTAAATGCAGGGCAGAGGGTGACTACCTTGGGGACAGGGCACAAATGAGCAGCAGGTGGTCAGTGCATTTGCACAGATGAGCCACTGCAGGCCACCCAGACTCCCTGTAAACTCTCATCATGAACTGCAGCACGAGAACTAAGACGGGGCTTCAACTACCTCGCATAAGTTGTGTTGAATTTTACATGCAGCATTCAAGTGAACAGAGCTCTTGAGGCATTTCAGACACCCAGATCTTGGGTATCAAGGGCCACCCTTTTCCAGTATTTTGATATCATATGTATATTTTTTGAATTTCTTCTCTTCACAAATCCTAGCAAACATGATAACAAGAAATATGCAGAAACAATATACACATCTGTCCCTGGATTTAAACACATGGGAGAGAACAGGCAAAACCAGGAAATCCCTGTTTGCCGAGTTCACCAGGCTCATCTGATTGCAGGCTCCTATCTTGGGAGGACTAAGAAATTAAAACCTACACAAGTGCCACAAATCACCCACAACATTGTCAATAAAGACAATTTGCAGCTGGGTGAATGGAAGGAAGAGTTCTAGTCATCACTTCCCCGTTTTCCCTGGAGCTGCAGTCTTCAGGTGTCACTACTGAGCTAACAGCCCACAACTCCACCGCATTACCTGGGGGGCACTTGCCATTGTTCTTCCACTTCCTCATCATCATTTTGACTTTCTGTAAATAAATTCAGAGAAGCAGGTCACATTAAGCAAATCACACATCACATAGGACCAAATCAGTGTTTAGTCATAGCACAAGCACAGAAATGTTCTCAGGCAAGAATACAAATTCTCACAGGCAGATGCTAGGGTGCCCTGGATGAAGCCTGGTGAGTAGATGAGCCTGCTTTCCAGATGCACAGGCCAAAATCTCCTTCTATGGGTAGACCATAATGCCATATTCTCTCCCTGAGTCTATGCAAAGTTAAACCAATTTTTTCCCCAGAAAATCTCCAAAAGTTAGTCAAACTATTTTCTGGGAGTGCTGCTGCAATACTGACTTATCTCACCAGGTAGCAAGGTCATTGAATGGTCAGAGGCATCTATGCATGAAACTGGACAATATGTACATTCTAACCACACTTGCTTGAAAAAGAATCTGGGAGCTTTCCACAGTGGCAGTATCGTAGCCAATGAGGTTTATCTGAGATGAGATTATCGCTAATTGAAAACTTTCCCCAATACCCCGCCCTTATGACATGCAATTGAGTTGGCAGTGACAATTTTTCACAGTCCCTAGGGAGAAGGAATAAAAAAAGACAAAACAAAAACAAACAAAAAAGAATCTGTCTCAGACCAATGGTGAAATGTGAACCGGGCATGGTGGCTCACGCCTGTAATCCCAGCATTCTGAAAGGCTGAGGTCAGCATTTCACGAGGTCAGGAGATCGGGACCATCCTGGCTAACACGGTGAAAGCCTGTCTCTACTAAAAATACAAAGAAATTAGCTGGGCATGGTGGCACGCGCCTACAGTCTCAGCTACTTGGGAGGCTGAGGCAGCAGAATCGTCTGAACCCAGGAGGCAGAGGTTGCAGTGACCTGACATTGTGCAACTGAACTCCAGCCTAAATAACAGAGGGAGACTCCACCTCCAAGAAAAAGAAAAAACAAAATCCGTGATTTGAAAGGACAAAGTAGGTGAAAAATTGAAGGTCAGGAGTTCAAGACCAGCCTGGCCAATACGGTGAAACCTCATCTCTACTAAAAATAGAAAAATCAGCTAGGTGTGGTGCTAGGCACCTGTGATCCCAACTACTCAGGAGGCACAGGCAGGAGAATCACTGGAGTCTGCAAAGTGGAGCTGCAGTAAACCAAGATGGTGCCACTGCACTCCAGCCTGAGTGACAAAAAAAGACTCCATCTCAACAACAACAAACAATATGTGATGCTACGAAGAAAAATCAGATCGGCCATTACATTGAGGCGGTGTAGAGCCAGGGGTGAGCCTTGCTTTACGGAAACACATCAACAAGGTAAAGACAAAATGTTTCCATCCTGGTTTCAAGGTGACTATGCAGCTAAGCAAGCTGACTCAAAAGAGATCAAGACTAAAGCTCAGAGCAGTGAAAACTGGGGAACAATATCTCCAAATAAAAAGGCAAGGCTCCCGGTTTCCTTACAAAGAAATAGAAACTCCATGAACATCGTTCAGGGACAGATGACATAATGACAGGTGATGAGAGATACCGACTCAAAGCTAGGAGACCTGACAGACATCTACTGTACACCTCCTGCACTCAGGTGACCATCCGGTTGTCACACCGGCCTGCGGTCTGGTAACTTGATACTCGGGCCTGGGAGACAAATGCATGGCATGAGCTGAGGAAGAGATAACAATTCCCTGATATCTGTGTTTAGTATCCCATCATACGTATTTATTCAAACCGATTTGTGTGTATAGAGCCTGTCTTCAGAGTTGATCTTCCTCAGCCTAGACATAGGTACCAAAAACATGGAATGTAGGGGTCACCTGAAAGAATGATTAGAGCATCCTCCGCTACATCATGGGATGATTCACTCTCTACAATCAGTGCAGAATCGACGCTGTCTTCCTCAAATGTGATTTCACTGGTGTCTCTGGGAGGCTGGCTGGATTCAGGAGGGCCATAGCTATTTGAACGAGTGACGACACATTCCTCCAGTGAGTCCTCAGGGACTTTCTTGACTTCAATCTTCTGCACCTCTCTGATGAGTCAGATGGGACAAAGATGACAGAAGATTAAACAAAGGGGGATTGAACAGGAGGAATAAGAGAGGGCTCTCAGAAGGCAAATGGGAGGTTCCCTTTGAGAGGAAACAGGCAATCCTCCTCTCTGCCACAGAGCATGGCTGCCATGGGAAACCGGAGGGAAAGAGAGCGGCTGGTATTCGTCACACTGGGCAGAAAGGAGCTGAGAAGAGCAGAGACTCAGTTATCCCTGCATAGTTCAGACACGGCACTCGGCACATACAAAGAACCGCGACAGCTGCCACGCCCTGTGTCTAAGTTGGGTTGAACTGAACGTATTGTGGCCAAGGGAATGGAGGCTTTTGGCCCATGGTAGACACCAGGGAGGGTGAGATTCTAGAACTTTTCCATACTTTACCAACCACAACTTGCTCCTGATTATTCAGCCTTACCTGGGGGCACGTGACTCCTCTACTCGCTCAGCCTCTGCGACGTGAACGTCTTCATCCTCATCTTGGTCATTTTCTGCAAGTACAGATGTGTTCGTTCAGATATTTCCCGTTTCACACTCTGCAAGCACAGTCAGCCCAATGTGCACAGGGACATGAACGTCTGCGTGTGGGTCCCTGTTCTACTGAAAGTTCTCATGGTTTCTCTTTCACAAAACGCCCTGGCATGGTTTCCTGATCCACTAGGCAATGCATTTCTGATCCAGAGGGTCACCGTGAAGATGAGGCCAAATGTTGAAAAGGCCTTCTGCTCCGACATCACCGGAGGCTTGTGCAGCCTCTCTCTGGACTTTGGCAGCTGTCTCCCCATCCTGACACAGATCTGATGCCCAGGGACAGGCTTGCCTTCCTGTCACAGTTCACATTTAAAACCTGTTTCTTTCTCTTAGGAGAGGACAAGCAAACTTGTCCCACAATCCTCTGCACATCAGGTGAGTTCACAGGCCCTCCAAGTGGCTTCTGTTGTGTTATTCAGGGACATTCTCTCCATGGGGAGTGCTCCAGTCTGAACTGCTTCCTAACACCGAATGCCCACACATCAGGTGCTGTCTCCAGCACCACAAGCAAGGGGCTTTATCTCATTTTGATAAGCGGTCATAAATGTTCGCACATTTGATTGCTTCGGACAGCGCAAGACGTCTGCCTTTGCAGATGGAGAGAGAGAAATTTGCCTGACTTTGCAGATGGAGAGACAGAAAGTCAGGAAGGAGAAATCAATTGCTCGCTGACAGTTACTAAAAACACTGCTGAACATACAGCCTGGGAACCTTCATTCTTAATCCAGAGCTCTTTCCACTCCAACAACCGCCCTCCTGTCACAGCTTCCTTTTTGTCCTTTACAACTGGACAGATGCTGCCCCTTGTTCCAAAGACCACCTCCCATCAGATTATGTAAGGAGCAGAGTCCTCTTGAAGCTCCCACAGCGGGTACTGTGTGCTATCACTGCATTTCCTTCAGGCCCCCAGAACAGAGCTTTCCCTACTGAACCTCAGCAGACACCTGAACTGAATGGCAGTTCACGAGCCTCAGGCATTTCGGCCAACAGGCTAGATGCTACTTGTCTGCAGGATCTTCTGTGGTACAGAGAGGATTCCTGTCAACGTGATTTTGCCTCTTGCTGAGAAAAACAGGTGGTTCTGCACCTGTGTCAGGAATCAATGGCTGAGATTTTACCCTGAGTCACACCCCTACCTTACTGCAGACGTGGAAAAGTGGCTACATACTTTGGCCTCTCTCAGCCATTTTTAACAAAATGTTAAAATACAAATTTATATTTGCCTAAAAGTATGGGGAAAATGAAATAAATTCTGATGAAGAGAGTGTTCAGTTTCTCAGAGAAAAGACAGGACATCGTTCAGCACTTCCGTGATGGTGAACCTATAGAACTTACCTTCCGTCTTCAGCGGGCAGCCCGGGTAGTAGGCCGCTTGACTCATAAGAAGCTGATTTTGGCTGTCTCCATATTTCTGCTCTTCATCGTCATCCTTTTCATCATCTGTATACAAATTCAGAACAGCAGGTAATTTTGAGCAAATCTCACTTCACATAAGACCAAATCAGTGCCCGGTCATAGCACAAGGACGTAAAATATTCTCAATGGAAGAATGTCATATTACGATGGGAATGTTCTCACGGGCCCTAGATTACGTAGCCTCAGAAGTAGATGAGCCTGCTTTTCAGATCCATGGGACAAAATCTATATCATCTTGTAGATCGCAATCACATATCCTCTGACTTAAGTCAGTGCTAACCATTAAAACTTTTTCCCCAAAATCTTCAAAACTTACCCTAACTACTTTCCAGAAGGGTTGCTGCAGTACTGATTTATCTCATCATATATCATGATCAATGAATGGTTAGAGATATTTATATAGGAGACTGGACCAACGGATGAATTTTAACAACATTTACTTAAAAAAGAATCTGGGGAGTCGGCACCGTGGCTCATGCCTGGAATCCCAGCATTTTAGGAGGCCCAGGAGGGCAGATCCCTTGACCTCAGGAGTTCAAGACCAGCCTGGCCGACAGGGAGAACCATGCCTCTACATAAAATACAAAAATTAGCCAGGCGTGGTGGTGCCCACCACGGATCCCAGCTAATTGGTAGTCTGACGCAGCAGTACCAGGGTACTCCCTGCTCTTGATGGTGCTACTTACAGATACCACAGGTTCTATTAGGAGCAGGGTCCCCTTTAAGCTCCTCACGGGAGGTATTGTGTGCTATCGCCGTGTTTCCCCCAGTGCCCACAGAACACAGCTTTGCTCAGCAGAAACTGGAACTGAATGGAAGTTCAGTAGCCTCAGACATTTAGACCAGCAGACTAGATGCTACTTCTCTGCAGGATCTTAGACCGTACAGAGAGGATTCCTGAAAACATGGATTTAGCCTCTTGCTGAGAAAAACAAGTGGTTCTGTGCCTGTGTCAGAAATCAATAGCTGGGATTGTAACCACAGTCCCTCACCCACCTTACTGCAGACGTAGAAAAGTTGCTAAACACTTTGGCCTCTCTCTTCCATCTTTACCAAAATGTTAAAATACCCATTTCTATTTTCTACAAGTATGGTAAAGATGAAATTAATTTTGATGAAGAGAGTGGTTTCTCGAGACAAGACAGGACATCATTCATCACTTTTGTGGAGGTGAACCTATAGAACTTACTGTATGTCTTCACCTGGTAGTTCAGGGTGTAGTTCACCTGACTCATAAGATGTTTATTTTTGCTGACTCCGACATTCGGTTTGTTCTCTTCCTGCTGGGAGCAGGATTTCTCAATGCCTTCTGGGATGTTCACCTCTGTGTTTTTTCTGGAAGGAGTCCTGCAAGATGCCACCTTGCTGATGTTTGGGGCACAACACAGAAAGCCAGGGACTGGGGAGAAGAAACACAAACACATGATGGGTTAGAATCTGGTCACATCAAATTGGTTTAATCAGGACGAAGGGATGTCACTGACAGCGTTGCCTATTGATGTGAAGATGGCATTTCCCCAAATTACTCTTCTCATCTCCACACTTGATCTTCTTAAAGTCAACTTGTCTTAGCTACTCATTTACCTTGAAGCCAGGACATACACTTTTCTACCTTTATCTTGCTTATAAGTTCTGAAGGATCTTATATGCTACAGAGAAGATTCCTGTAAACATGATTTAGTCTCTTGCAGAGAAAAGCAGGTGGTTCGCTGCCTGTGTCAAGAATCAATAGCTGGGATGTTAAACCTAGTCTCACACCTGTCTTACTGCAGATGTGAAAAGTTGCTAAATACTTTGGCCTCTGTGTTACATCTTTAATAAAATGTTAAAATTCCCATTGCTACTTTCCTAGAAGTATGCGAAGGAGGAAATTTACTTTGAAGAAGAGAGTGTATTGCTTGTCAGAGACAAGACAGGACGTCGTTCAGCACTTCCGTGATGGTGAACCTATAGAACTAACCTTCCGTCTTCAACCGGCAGCCCAGGTAGTAGGCCACTTGACTCATAAGCAGTTTATTTTTGCTATATCTGCATTTCTGTTTTTCATCATGTTCTTTTCGATCTTCTATAAACAAATTCAGAAGAGCAGGTCACATTGAGCAAATCGCACTTCACACAAGACCAAATCTGCGTCCATTCATAGCACAAGGACGTAAAATATTCTCAGGGTAAGAATGTGATATTCTGACAGGAATGTTCTAACAGACCCTAGATTAGGTTGCCTCAGTGGTATATGAGCCCGCTTTTCAGATCCATGGGACAAAATCTCCCTCATCTGGTAGATCTTAATCATGTATCCTCTGACCTATGTCAGTGCAAATAGTAAAAAACTTTTTCCCCAAAATCTTCAAAAATTGCCCTAACTGCTTTCCAGAAGCATTGCTGCAATACCGAGTTATCTCATCATACATCATGGTCAATGAATGGGTAGAGAAATTTACATAGGAGACTGGACCAATGGACGAATTCTAACAACTTTTACTTAAAAAAGAATCTGTGGAGTCAGCCCAATGTCTCACATTTGGAATCCCAGCACTTTAAGAGGCCCAGGATGGCAGATCACTTGACCTCAGGAGTTCAAGAACAGCCTGGCCAACATGGTGAAATGCCAACTCAACTAAAAATACAAAAATTAGCCAGGTGCGGTGGTGCCCAGCAGGGATCCCAGCTAATTGGGAGGCTGAGGCATCAGTACCAGGGTGCTCCTTGCTCTTGATGGTGCCACTTACACATACAACAGGTTCTATTAGGAGCAGGGTCCCCTTCCAGCTCTTCACAAGAGGTACTGTGTGCTATCACTGTGTTTCCCCATGTCCCCAGAACACAGCTTTGCCTGCTGGGCCTCAGCAGAAACTGGAACAAAATGGAAGTTCGGTAGCCTCAGACATTTTGACCAACAGACTGGATGATACTTGTCTGCAGGATCTTACACGGTAGAGACGATTCCTGTATACACGAATTTAGCCTTTTGCTGAGAAAAACAGGTGGTTCTGTGCCTGTGTCAGAAATCAATAGCTGGGATTGCGACCCCGGTCCCACACCCACCTTACTGCAGTTGTGGAAAAGTTGCTAAACACTTTGGCTTCCATCTTCCATCTTTAACAAAATGGTAAAATACACATTTCTATTTACTACAAGTATAGCAAGAATGAAATTAACTTTGAATGAAGAGAACTGTTAGTTTTTCAAAACAAGACAAGACATCATTGATTACTTTCGTGGTGGTCAACCTATAGAACTTACTGTATGTCTTCTCCCGGTAGTTCAGGAAGTAGGCCACCTGGCTCATAAGAAGTCTATTTTTGTTGGCTCCGACATTCAGTTTGTTTTCTTCCTGTTGGGAGCAGGATTTCTCAATGCCTTCAGAAATGTCCACCTCTGCGTTTTTTCCAGAAGGAGTCCTGCCAGATGCCACTATGTTGACGTTTGGGACAGAACACAGAAAGCCAGGGACTGGGGAGAAGAAACCCAAACACATGATGGGTTAGAAACTGGTGACATCAAATTGGTTTAATCGGGACTGAGGATGTCACTGACAGCCTCGCCTATTGATTTGAAGATGTTGTTTTCCCTGCTTTTACTCCTCTCATCTCTACTCTTGATCTCCTTAAAGTCAACTTGTCTTAGCTACTCAGTCACCTTGAAACCAGGATATACACACTTCTACCTTTAGCTTGCTTATAAGTTCTCAAGGATCCTATATATTAGAGAGGATTCCTGTCAACATGACTTAGGCTCTTGCTGGGAAAAACAGGCGGTTCTGTGCCTGCGTCAGGAATCAATAGCTGTGATATTAACACTAGTCCCACACCCGCCTTACTGCAGACATGGAAAAGTTGCTAAATACCTTGGCCTCTGACTTCCATCTTTACCAAAATGTTAAAATTCCCATTGCTATTTTCCTAGAAGTATGGGAAGGATGAAATTAACTTTAAAGAAGAGAATGTATCATTTCTCAGAGACAAGACAGGACATTGTTCAGCACTTCCGTGATGGTGAACCTATAGAACTTACCTTCCGTCTTCAGCCGGCAGCCCAGGTAGTAGGCCACTTGACTCATAAGAAGTTTATTTTTGCTGTCTCGGCATTTCTGTTCTTCATCATGATCTTTTCGATCTTCTGCAAACAAATTCAAAAGAGCAGGTCACATTAAGGAAATCGCACTTCACACAAGACCTAATCAGTGTTCAGTCATAGCACAAGGTCTTAAAATATTCTCAGTGTAAGAATGTAATATTCTGATGGGAATGTTCTAAGAGACCCTAGACTAAGTCGCCCTAGAAGTAGATGAGCCGCTTTTGAGATCCATGGGACAAACTCTCGCTCATCTGGTAGTTCTTAATCACGTATCTTCTGACCTAAGTCAGTGCAAACATTTAAAACGTTTTCCCCAAAATCTTACAAAAATTGCCCTAAATACTTTCCAGAAACATTGCTGCAATATTGATTTATCTCATCATATATCATGGTCAACAAATGGTTAGAGAAATTTATATAGGAGACTCGACCGATGGATGAATTCTAACAACCTTTACTGAAAAAAAATCTGTGGAACCAGCTTGGTGGCTCACGCCTGGAATCCGAGAAATTTAGGAGGCACAGGAGGGCAGGTCCCTTGACCTTAGGCATTCAGGACCAGCCTGGCCAACATGGTGAAACCCCGCCTCTCCTGAAAACACAATAGTTAGCCAGGTGTGGTGGTGCCCACCGGGGATCCCAGCTGATTGAGAGGCTGAGGCACCAGTACCAGGGTACTCCCTGCTCTTGAAGGTGCCACTTATACATACCACAGTTTCTATTAGGAGCAGGGTCCCCTTTAAGCTCCCCACAGTCGGAACTCTGTGCTATCATCGTGTTTCCCCAGTGTCTCCAGAACACAGCTTTGCCTACTGGAGCTCAGCAGAAACCGGAACTCAATGGAAGTTCAGTAGCCTCAGACATTTAGACCAACAGACTAGATGCTACTTGTCTGTAGGATCTTATATGGTACAGAGAGGATTCCTGCAAACATGGATTTAGCCTCTTGATGAGGAAAACAGGTGGTTCTGTGCCTGTGTCAGAAATCAATAGCTGGGACTATAACCCCAGTCCCACACCCACCTTACTGCAGATGTGAAAAAGTTGCTAAATACTTTGGACTCTGTCTTCCATCTTTACCAAAATGGTAAAATACCCATTTCTATTTTCTGCAAGTATGGGCAGAAAAAATTAATATTGATGAAGAGAACTGTTAGTTTCTCAACACAACACAACACAGGGCATCATTGATGACTTTCGTGGTGGTCAACCTATAGAACTTACTGTATGTCTTCTCCCGGTAGTTCAGGAAGTAGGACACCTGGCTCATAAGAAGTCTATTTTTGTTGGCTCCGACATTCAGTTTGTTTTCTTCCTGTTGGGAGCAGGATTTCTCATTGCCTTCTGGAATGTTCACCTCTGTGTTGTTTCTGGAAGGAGGCCTGCCAGATGCCACCATGTTGACGTTTTGGACAGAACACAGAAAGCCAGGGACTGGGGAGAAGAAACCCAAACACATGATGGGTTAGAAACTGGTGACATCAAATTGGTTTAATCGGGACTGAGGCTGTCACTGACAGTCTTGGCTACTGATTTGAAGATGTTGTTTTTCTGCTTTTACTCTTCTCACCTTCTCTCTCGATCTCCTTAAAACAACTCATCTTAGCTACTCAGTCACCCTGAAACCTGGAAATAAACACTTCTACCTTTATCTTGCTCATAAGTTCTGCAGGATCTTATATGGTAGACAGGATTCCTGTCAACATGATTTAGCCTCTTGCTGAGAAAAACAGGTGGTTCTGTGCCTGCGTCAGGATTCAATAGCAAGGACATTAACACTAGTACCACACCCACCTAACTGCAGACGTGGAAAAGTTGCTAAATACTTTGGCCTCTGTCTTCCATCTATAACAAAATGTTAAAATACCCATTGCTATTTTCCCAGAAGTATGGGAAGGATGGAATTAATTTCGAAGAAGAGAGTGTATCATTTCTCAGAGACAAGACAGAACATCATTCCACACTTTTGTGATGGTGAACCTGTAGAACTAACCTTCCGTCTTTAGCCGGCAGCCCAGGTAGTAGGCCACTTGACTCATAAGAAGTTTATTTTTGCTGTCTCGGCATTCCTGTTCTTCATCGTGATCTTTTCGATCTTCTGTAAACAAATTCAGAAGAGCTGGTCACATTAAGCAAATTGCACTTTGCACAAGACCAAATCAGTGTGTAGTCATAGCACAAGGACATAAAATATTCTTAGTGTAAGAATGTGATATTCTGACGGGAATGTTCTCACGGGCCCTAGACTAAGTCACCCTAGAAGGAGGTGAGACGCTTTTCAGATCCATGGAACAAACTCTCCCTCATCTGGTAGACCTTAATCAAGTATCCTCTGACCTAAGTCAGTGCAAATAACTAAAACTTTTTCCCCAAAATCTTACAAAAATTGTCCTAAATACTTTCTAGAAGTGTTGCTGCAATACTGATTTATCTCATCATATATCACTGTCAATAAATGGTTAGAGAAATTTATATAGGAGACTAGACCGACGGATGAATTCTAACAACCTTTACTGATGAAAGAATCTGTGGAGCAGGCGTGGTGGCTCATGCCTGGAATACCAGCACTTTAGGAGGCCCAAGTAGGCAGATCCCTTGACCTCCGGAGTTGAAGAACAGCCTGGACAACATGGTGGAACTCCGCCTCTACTAAATTATACAAAAATTAGCCATTTGCAGTGGTGCTCACCAGGGATCCCAGCTAATTGGGAGGCTGAGGCACCAGTACCAGGGTACTCCCTGCTCTTGATGGTGCCTCATACACATTCCACAGGTTCTATTAGGAGCAGGGTCCCCTTCGAGCTCCCCACAGCGGGTACTGTGCGCTATCACTGTGTTTCCCCCAGTGTCCCCAGAACACAGCTTTGCCTACTGGGCCTCAGCGGAAACCAGAACCTAATGGAAATTCAGCAGCCTCAGACATTTAAACCAACAGACTGGATGCTACTTGTCTACAGGATCTTATATGGTACAGAGAGGATTCCTGTAAACATGATTTAGCCTTTTGCTGAGAAAAACAGGTGGTTCTGTGCCTGTGTCAGAAATCAATAGCTGGGGCTGGGCGCGGTGGCTCAAGCCTGTAATCCCA